ATAGCGTGATTTTGATTATTGAAGTGTTTGTGTTATAAATTCATTTGATTGTCTTTGTTGTTTCCTTGAAAATCTATTTCTCATTAACACATGCGTTTGATGAATATTGACTCTTATACTTCTAGATTTTCTTATAAATGTACTTACATGAGTCATGATGTGCATGATATCCATTTRAACTCACTAAGSTTTGTTAGCTTATCCTTTTAGTGGTAAACCTTTCAGGAAAAGAAGCTAAGAGTAAAGGGAAAGTTGTAGATCGTTGATGGTTCGTGTTGGAATCGAGGACCGTCATATTTTGGTTTACGATAGTTTATGCTTTTTGATAGTATTTGTCACTCTTTCCGGGTTGAAGTTTTTTTTTCCGATGAATACTTTCGGCCCTTCAGATGTAAATGTTGATATAAAACTTATCTTTTGATGGTAAATATATATATGTATCCCGTATTTTGTTGAGGTTGAACTTGAAATTTAGCTTAAGATCTATCCGTTAATTGTGGTTCGGTAACTTGTGTGTTATAAATATGGTATCAGAGCAATGGTTTAAGTGAACTAGGTACCAGAAATGGTATATGGACTTAAACTTGGGCAATGAGATTGTATAGTAACCAAGTTTGATTTATACGGGATACGGACCATATGAAAGATCTAAGTGGGTAAATGAGCATTTATTAGTATGTTGTTTAGTATTTTGGGTTTTTTTTTTGTCATTTCCAGAATGATGTCTGCTCATGATGATCATGCAAGTCATWCACCAACGAACCCRGATGTTGGTGGGCATAACCCGGATTTAAATGAGGGTGTCGAAACCTCACGCGTTCACTTGGAAACTGGTCCACTTTTCGAGGAGGATGCCCCTTTATCTCCTCGTGGTGAATGACTGATGAAGCGAGTTACCGATTTCGTGCGGTAAGTTCTTAATGAACATCGAAAAGAGGATATTATGAAAGGGAAGCGGGTTGATACGGGTGCCATTTCTCAACCTAAGTCCACCCAAACTTCGATAAAACATTCAAAACTAGTGGAGCAACTGAATTTAATGAGGTTTCAGATCCAATTGTAGCTATCGAATGGCTACTGAACACAGAAAAAGTGTTTCGGATCTCCAAAGTCTCTGAAGAGAATAAGGTTAACTATGCGACTGCTATGTTTATGAGTAGTGCACTGATATGGTGGGATGCAACCTACCAGTCTCTGAATGAGGCTGAAAGAAATAATTTAACTTGGGAAGGCTTCAAAACCATTTTTCATGAACAATATTGTCCCCCTGACTTACTGAAACGGTTGGAGAAAGAGTTCATTAACCTTAAACAAGGAGACTTGATTGTGGTGCAGTATGAGACCCAGTTCAAAATGAAGGCACGTTTTGCCTCACGTTTCGTTACCTCTGAACAACACAAGATTGAACATTTTGTTGATGGTATGAGGAGAGAGATTAAAGAATTTGTATCAAATCGTGATCTTACAAGTTTTTGGAGAGCGGTTGAATGTGCTAGACGACAAGAACACAAACTTTCTCTCTATGGTGAATCCACACCCGAACCAAAGAGACAGAGAACTGAAATAACAACTTCTGTACCTGCAAACCGACCTAATCGATCTTTCACCCCAAGAAGGAGTCAGTCTTAGAGTGCTCCTCGAGCCCCATCTCGAGCCTATTCCATGCAGGTATAATATTGTGAATACAAGTGAAATGAGTATATGAATTGTAGAACTAATACAAATTTATTGCAGTCAAACACACCTCGCGCAAGCCAACGATGTGGCAAGGCGCACTCGGGACGATGTTTCTCTGAACCGTCCAAAATTTCGTGTTATTCCTGTGGTGAAGTTGGGCATATTCGTACAAATTGCTCAAGACGAGATCGAGCGTGTTATACTTGTGGAGCTTATGGACATCATCAGCTTAATTGTCCAAATGCCCAACGTGAGGATAGTAAGGCCTCAGTACGACAACCAATGGTGAGAGGTTCCTTAACCCGAAAGGAGGAAGTACCAAGAGCAAGAGTTAGAGCGTTCCAGATCACAGCAGAGGAGGCTCGAAAGGAGCCGGAGCTCGTCACTGGTATATTTTTCGTGAATTCTCATCCTGTATGTATATTATTTGATTATGGTTCTACGTATTCCCTCGTGTCGCATGCCTTTGTTCGCTTTCTCGAATCTATTCCTGTACTTTTTGATAGACCATTTTCTGTGGATACCGCTAGTGGAACCCCTTTAGTAGCTGATAGAGTATTCAAAGATTGTACATTAGTATTGGAGGATCGAAACTTCTCAGTAGACTTAATCCTTATGGATATTTGTGGCTTTGATGTGGTTATTGGTATGGATTGATTAGTAGCAAACCGGGCGGATATTATTTGCGTGCAACGGATGATCCGAGTACCAGTTAGTGGAGGAGATTATATTTATGTATACGGAGAAAAAGGGGTCGGTGACATCAAGGTAATTTATGTACTCAATGCTCGTCGATATTTATCTAAGGGGTGCACTTCTTTCATGGCATATGTTTTAGATGTCACTAAAGAAAGAAACAAGTTGGCCAAGGATGTACCCGTGGTATGTGAATTTCAGGATGTCTTTCCTGATGATTTGCCTGGTCTACCACCGGATAGGCAAGTAGAATTTTGAATTGACCTTGTGCCAGGTGCTGCACCTATTGCACGGACACCCTATCGTCATGCCCCCGTAGAAATGAAGGAAATGATGAGCCAATTACAGGGATTATTGGATAAAGGTTTCATCTGACCGAGTACTTCACCTTGGGGTGCTCCGGTGTTATTCATGAAGAAGAAAGATGGTTTATTTCGCATGTGTATTGATTACCGCGAGTTAAACAAAGTAACAATCAAGAATAAATATCCGTTACCTTGTATCGATGATTTGTTCGATCAACTACAGGGAGCAAGTTACTTTTCCAAGATTGATTTGATCCAGATACCATCAGCTCAAGGTACGGGATGAAGATGTACCAAAAACGGCTTTCCGTACCCGATACGGACACTATGAGTTCTTGGTAATGCCATTTGGTCTAACGAATGTCCCGGCTGCATTCATGGATATGATGAATCGAGTATGTCGGTCTATGCTCGATAAGTCTGTCATTGTCTTCATTGATGACATACTTGTGTATTCTAAGTCAGAAATTGATCATGCTACGCATCTCCGTCAGATGTTGGAGTTACTAAGAAAAGAGAAATTATATGCCAAGTTCTTGAAATGCGAATTCTGGCTCAGAAAGGTGCAATTCTTAGGGCATATGATCTCCGGTGAGGGTATTTCTGTCGATCCATTTAAAATTGAGGCAATTCAGAATTGGGAACAACCGAAGAATGCCTCAGAGATCCGCAGTTTTCTTGGATTAGCGGGTTATTACTGACGATTCATAAAAGACTTTTCAAAGATTGTCGTTCCCCTTACTTCACTCACTCGCAAAGCTGTGAAGTTTGTATGGAATGAAGAACAAGAGAAAGCTTTTCAGCTCTTGAAAGCTTTTTTGACGAACGCTCCGATTCTTGCCTTACCCGAAGGTAACGATGACTTTGTGGTCTATAGTGATGCGTTGAAGTTGGGATTGGGTTGCGTATCGATGCAACGAGGCAAGGTGATTGCGTATGCCTCCCGACAATTGAAGGATTATGAGAAGAACTACCCCACTCATGATCTTAAGTTGGCGGCGGTAGTGTTTTCCTTGATATTGTGGCGTCATTATCTCTATGGGACGAAATGTCAATTATTCACGGATCACAAGAGTCTGAAGTACATTTTCGATCAACAGACTTTGAATATGAGACAGCAAAGGGCCATGGAGTTAATAAAAGACTATGATTGTGAGATACTCTATCATCCTGGTAAAGCCAACGTTGTGGCGGATGATTTGAGTTTAAAATCATATGTCTCTTATATGTGTTACACAATCACTCACACGTCTATACAGTCTACGCTTATTGACGACCTGCGAAGATGGCAAGCTGAGGCTTTAAAACTTGAACATATGAAGTCTGAACGGATAGTTAGATGTGTAGATTCTCTCTCGGAAGATAATCGTGGCATGAAAGTGTTTAGATCCCGAATGTGGGTGCCGAAGCTTGGTGGCGTGCGAGAGACTATTCTAACAGAAGCTCACAAATCTAGAATGTCCGTTCATCCCGACAGTACAAAAATGTATCATGATCTGCGTACCGAGTTTTGGTGGCCGGGCATGAAAGTGGATATCGACCGTTATATTGAGAGATGCGTTACGTGTTTGCAAGTGAAGGCTGAGCACCAAAAACCTTATGGTAGTTTACAACCTTTGGAGGTGCCAGTCTAGAAATGGGAAGAGTTGACCATGGACCTCGTAACAAAGCTACCGAAGACTTCTCGTCAATACGATATTGTTTGGGTGATTGTGGACCGGTTAACAAAAAGTGCTTATTTTCTCGCGGTTCGGGAAGATTATTCTATGGATCGTTGGGCACAAATATACATTGATGAGATAATTGCCTGTCATGGTGTACCGTTAAAGGTAGTTTCTGATCGTGATTCTCGATTTACCTCAAATTTTTGGACTAGTATGCAAAGAGAACTAGGGAGTCGTGTTGCTCTTAGTACCGCATATCACCCCCAAACCGATGGACAGTCAGAACGCACGATTCAAGCAATGGAGGATATGTTACGAGCTTGTATCTTGGAGTTTGGTGGAAGCTGGGATTACCACTTGCCACTTATAGAGTTCTCGTATAACAAAAGTTATACTCCATGATCGACATGGCTCCACTTGAGGCTTTGTACGGACGTAAGTGCCGTACGCCTCTCTGTTGGCAAGAAACCGGAGAGAAAGTGTTGGCTGGACCCGAGTTGATTCAAGTCACACATGATAAGATACGGGTTATACGTGAAAGAATGAAAGCAGCCCAAGATCGACAGAAATCTTATGCCGACAAACGACGACGACGGATTCAGTTTGAAGTGGGAGATATGGTGATGCTGAAAGTATCACCATGGAAGGGAATTCTACGGTTTGGTAAGAAAGGGAAGTTGAGTCCACGTTTCATTGGACCCTTTAAAATCCTTGAGTGTATTGGAAAACAAGCATATCGCTTGGAGTTGCCAGAAGAACTCTCCGGTATTCATGACGTTTTCCACGTTAGCTATCTAAGGAAATGCTTGGGTAAGCATGAGGAGACCGTTCCTTTGGTGAAGGTCAAGTTGGATAAAATATTGAGGTACATAGAAGAACCCGAGGCCATTMTTAATGAAAGAACCGTTAATCTCCAAAACAAGATCGTAGATTTGGTCCTTGTTAAATGGAAGCATCACCGTGGTCCGAATTGGACGTGGGAGAACAAAGACGAAATGAAGGCCAAGTATCCGGAGTTATTTGAGAGACCTTGATTTCGAGGACGAAATCTTCGAAAGGAGGAGGTATTTGTAACATCCATCTTCCTAATACGCTTAATTATATGTTGAAAACATCGACTTTTCGGGTATGGTTTTGAGCATTGGGTTCTAACGAATTTTTTTTTCTTTTTTGTTTGGAAATATTTTCTAGAATCTTTTTATTGGAGCTTGTAGGTTATCTCGTTATGGATGCGTAAGCGAAAACCTCATCGAAAACAGAGTCCCGACAAAAAGTTATACAATTTTTAGTGTTTAGGGGTCAAAACGGGTACCCAGCCGGGTCAACCCGACCCAACTCGGGATTTAGGTTGCAAATCATCAAATCAGCCCCATTTTCAACCCTGTTTTCTCTCAAAATTGGTCTTGGGGTTCTAAGGTGCGATTACACACACTTGGGAGTTTATCTATCCCTAAATCAAGTGTTTTATCAAGATTATTGAAGGATTTATAGAGAAATCAAAGGTAAAACTCATATTTTATCTTTATTTTGATGGCATGCATAGAGTTTGAGTCCGTTCATATGATGATTTACTGATGAAATCATGAAATTATGTTAGGACTAAGTGTTATTATTAGTTAGTATGTGAAATCCAAGGATGGATTGTAAGATTTCTTGAAAATGTGATGTTAGCTCAAGAACAAGTGTCGACTTTTAGGAGTCAATTTGAGATACAATGAAATTAATAGAAAATTGATGTTATAATCATGGTTTATCATTGATTTATTGTGGAATATGGTAAAAATAAGTGAAACTATGAATTTGGAACTTATTGGGCTAGTATTGGTAATGTTTTGGATGAAAATGGGTGTTTTGAGCATTTGATAGGATGATTACAGCCCTGTTTTTGGAAAATCATAGAAAATCATAGAAAATTCAAAAAACTATGAATAAATAGGCCCTAGAAAGGTAAAAGAAAGGGCTACAACTTGTCTTTAGATCTGAATTGGTGATTTTGAGTTTTAAAGGGGTTAAACTGCCTTGCAAGTTAAGTATTTATATTGAAATCCAAAGTAGAGTACCTTAATCGAAATGAGGTTTGAGTGAGTTCTTGTTGTGCTTCACTAATGAAACTTTGAATATAACTTCCAGGGATTGTTTGAGCTTGTATGGAAGTCTTGGAGGTGGTTTTCCAWCTTTGATTTGGAAATAGGATTCGACCACTCGGTTTGACATTCGGTTTAATTCAACCAAATTTTATGGTGAGTTTACTTGGATATGTGTCTATTATGTGCTCTACAGATGTAAATGTTGATATAAAACTTATCTTTTGATGGTAAATATATATATGTATCCCGTATTTTGTTAAAGTTGAACTTGAAATTTAGCTTAAGATCTATCCGTTAATTGTGATTCGGTAACTTGTGTGTTCACCAGTACCCGATATCCCACCTCAAACCTTTCATGGTTCAAGGATTAGAGTCACGCCTAGGAAAAGTGTTCCACTACCTCGGCGAGTGACATTCGAGAATTCTGCTAGAGTTAGAGTAGAGACATCTCAACCACAGCTAGGGGGAAGGATTTCTCAAGTAGTGACCGGAGTACCTGCATCCTGCACTCGGGGCATGAATCTGGATGAACGAGAATGGGTGCGGAGAATCGCATCAGATACTCAAGTTCACCAGACCTGGCTGGGATAACACCACCACATTCTAAACAACTTATCCGATGTAATGGAAATGCACCACCAGCGTATGATGAGAAACTCGGATGCCGTAATTGCTGCGAGACGGGAGATTAGGAGATTGTACAAGTGGCTGGTAGTGAGTGGGATGATGATGTTGATACTAGGAATGATGATCGGTTGGATGTTGTTCTAGAAAGATTGACTAGTGATAGGCTATCCACTCTTTTGCAAAGAAACTCAAGATCTTGTTTTGTGATTGTAATCATCTATGAATGCATAATATCTTTTGAGAAATACTTATTTACATCAAGCCATGGTGAATATAAGATTATTCTGTTTGGTCATATAAATGCTTGAATGTTATCCATGCGATGAATATCCATTACATCACTTAAATAACTGAAAGTTATTATCCTTGATATTGCCAAGAAAATGACGAAATTCCCTTCTGACTTAGGCCTTAGAAAATGCCGTCAAGAAGAGAAAACCCTGAAGTTGCACGACTCGTATCAGAACAACTATTGGCTGCACTCCCCAACATTGTCAGCCAGGTAGCGACATGACTAAACGCTAACCAACCAACTAATTCTGAGCCTAGAACACCCCGGGAATGCACCTATAAATCCTTCAGATCCTGCAACCCAAAGGAATTCCATGGAACTGAGGGGGTTGTAGGATTATTGACTTGGATAGAGGGTATGGAATCTGTCCTCCATATCAGTAAATGCACAGAAGCAAACAAGGTAGAATATGATGCATGCTTACTTCAAGGGCAGTCACTAACATGGTGGAACACATTAGTTCATACTAGGGGTCGGGAATCTGCCAACCAACTTTCATGGGAAGAGTTCAAGAAATTACTTAAGGACGAATACTGCCCAAGAAGTGAACTCCAAAAATTGGAAATGGAGTTATGGAACCATGAGATGAAAGGGGAAAACATAGTTGCATATACTACTCGATTCCATGAGTTAGCAAACTTAGTGCCACATCTGGTGACACCCGAGGAAGTTCGAATTAAGAGATATATTTGGGGATTGTCTCCAGAGATTCGAGGAAACATCACCTCGGCAAACCCAAAGACCCTTCAGGAGACAATAGACATTGCCACCAAACTCACAAATAATGCTGTTCGATCTGGAGAATTCGCCAAGGGAAAGAGAAAGATGGAGGAGCATGAGAATAGAAGATTTGGGGGAAGATTTGACAATAGGAAAGTAGCAGGGAATTTTGGGGTTCAGACCTAGGTGGTAAACCAAGGAAGCAAGCCTAAGTGCAATAAATGCCAATATCCACACTGGGGAAATTGCATCATCTACCAAAGATGCCACATAGGTGGTCATGCTGCGAAAGATTGCAGGAAGCGATTGTGTTTTGATTGAGGAAGTCCAGACCACATAAGGAATGTGTGCCCAAAGAGAAAACAAGGAACAAATGCTAACCAAGCCCGACCGGCCAATCAAGGAAACCCAGAAAGTCAAGCACGGGGCCGAACATTTGAGATTGGAGCAAAGAAAGCTAGGTATGATCCCAATGTGGTTACAGGTACATTTCTCTTGAATAATGAATTTGCATCGGTATTATTTGATTCAGGGGCAGATAGAAGCTTTGTATCATTAGATTTTAAGCCGAAGATTAACTTAAAGCCCCAAAGGTTGAAAGAAGCTTATACAATAGAATTTACCAATGGCCAAGAAATTAAGGCTAGAGATATAATCATGGGTTGCACACTAAGTTTAGCCAACAAGGATTTCAGCATAGACCTCATTCCGATTGAGCTAAGAAGTTTTGATATAGTCATAGGCATGGATTGGCTATCCAAAAATCGAGCTGAAATAGTCTGTTCGGAAAAGATTATCCAAATTCCTCAAGAAGGAAGTGACTCAATTGCAATTCTAGGAAAAGAGTCAGATCGGAAAATTAGGATAGTATCATGCATGAAGATGCGGAAGTACTTAAGGAAGAACTATGTTGCATTTTTGGTGCATGTTACTGATAAGAAGGTCAAAGAGAAATGTATTGATGATTTCCCTATGGTTCGGGAGTTTCCTGATGTATTTCCCGAGGACTTACCAGGACTACCCCCGCCAAGACAAGTCGAATTCGGTATCGACTTAATCCCTGGAGCTGCCCCAGTGGCAAAAGCACCATATCRGTTGGCTCCATCAGAAATGCAAGAAATGTCAAGCCAACTCCAAGAGTTATTAGATAAGGGATTTATAAGACCAAGTTTCTCACTATGGGGTGCACCAGTTCTATTCGTCAAAAAGAAAGATGGGTCAATGCGAATGTGCATTGATTATAGGGAACTTAATAAGTTGACCATCAAGAATAGATACCCCTTTCCCAGAATCAATGATTTATTCGATCAACTCCAAGGTGCCGTATACTTTTCAAAGATCGATCTACGATCTGGATACCATCAAGTGAGAATTCGAGAGGAGGACACTCCCAAAACAACATTCAGGACCCGGTACGGTCATTACGAATTTTTGGTTATGCCATCCGGGCTAACCAATGCACCGGCAGTCTTTATGGATCTGATGAATAGAGTTTGCAGACCAGACCTGGATAAATTTGTAATTGTTTTCATAGACGACATACTAATTTATTCACAAAGCAAGAAGGATCATGAGCAACACTTGAGGATGATTTTAGAGCTACTCAGAAACCAGAAATTGTACGCAAAATTCTCCAAATGCGAATTCTGGATTCGTGAAGTACAATTTCTTGGTCACGTGGTTAATGAAAGAGGGATTCAGGTAGATCCTGCCAAGATTGAGGCCATTAGGGAATGGGAAGCCCCAAGAACCCCGACGGAAATTTGTCAATTTCTTGGTTTGGCAGGCTATTATCGGCAATTCATCGCGAACTTTTCGAAAATTGCACAACCACTCACAGCCTTAACTTAGAAAGATAAGAAGTTTTTCTGGGGAGAGAAACAGGAAGAGGCATTCGAGACCCTTAAGCAAAGACTATGTATGCACCTATCTTATCCTTACCCGAGGGTTCAGAAAACTTTGTGGCTTATTGTGATGCATCACATCAAGGCTTAGGATGTGTTCTAATGCAAAAAAGATAAGGTCATTGCATATGCCTCAAGGCAACTCAAAGTGCACGAGAAGAACTATACTATGCACGACCTAGAATTGAGAGCCATAGTATTTGCACTTAAGATATGGAGACATTACCTTTATGGTACCAAGTGCACAGTGTTCACTGATCACAAAAGCCTTCAACACATCCTCAACCAGAAGATGTTAAATATGAGGTAGAGAAGATGGGTTGAACTGCTTAGTGATTACGACTGTGAAATCAAATACCATCCCGGCAAAGCAAATGTGGTGGTCGATGCTCTGAGTAGGAAGG